ATATATATATATATATATATATATATATATATATATATATATATATGTATGTATGTATGTATGTATGTATGTATGTATGTATGTATGTATATATATATATATGCACATTATTACAAACTTCAAAATAATTTCTCAAACTTTGTGACACATCTTAAGCCATTCAATTTGACATCTAATTGCTAAGAGTGATTGTGCCTTCTTGTAACAAAGATAAATAGTTTCATATTGTACACTCTCTTTTCTTTTAAATCATTTTATAGACTCTGATGGCTTTCTTTTATAATCATGGAGAGGAAAATGGTTGGCCTCTTGTAAGCATCTCGAGCTTGGAGATTATAATGAGATTCTTTTGGGAAGGAGAACCATGCATAATGTGTAGGATCAAAGCCCTAATTCTTGTAAGACATGGTTAAAGTTTTTTATTTTTATTTTTTTATTTTATTTTATTTTAAAAAAGCTCCAATTCTTGCAAGTAATTCAAGATAGATGTGGACAAGTTACATTGTGGTTGAGAAGCTAGAACCCAAAGTATTGTCATTTTTCGTGAACCTGTTAAGAAAAAGAAATTAATGAAATAGCAATCAATAGAAGGCAGTAGAGTGGTCCTGTACACCTACACCAAAGGCGAGGCAGGCGCCTGATAGTGAAGATTATTTCCTTTTATCTTCAATAAATTTGTTCATGAAGATTATTTCTTTTTTCTTTCTCTTTTTATTAATAAAGATTAGTTCCTTTCTATGGAATGATGAAGATTATTATAATCTAAATTATAGTAATGGGGAATAAAGATTTTTTATTTTTTGGGTAATTCAGTGGGGAAGACATGCCCCTACCTGTTTTATTCATATAGATTAGGGAGTTCGCTTTTCTTTTCTTTTTTTTTTTCTTGTTTTTGTTTAAGGTGTCAATGAGTTGTGGTAACAGGATTGAAAACCAGAATGTGGTAACTAGGTATGGTTGGTGCTGCCACCTTGACTTAGATTACCATGCTTTAAAGGACGTAATTTTGGTGCGTCAATCAACACAACTATTCAAATGGACACACCTTAAAAATTCAATATTAGAGAGAGAATTTTTACTTAAAATTTTATAGGTAGATAACCTCTGCCGGCACAGTTATGAATTAGAAAAAAAAATAAAAAATAAAAAAGAAGAAAAAGAATTTGAACAATACAGACATATTGTTTTAAATTTAGTTTTTGGATAGTTTATCACTCTTTATTTTTATTCTTCGATGATAATTATATTTGAAACTATTTTACGAGTTGCAAAATCATGAATCTAAAGTCAAAGTGCGATTAGAGTGAGTTAAAAGTATTTAGATCCCAAACTGATGGATCTTTGAAATGGGATCAAATTTGAGCAAGATCTTGTTAAACTTTTTCCTGGATTTAAAATGATAGGGAAAATGATCCAGTTTAGGCAGGTAGGTCCTGGTTTTAGTGAGCCATTGGCACTTGATGGGGGAATCTATCTTTAACATGTAATTTGAAGGGGGGGTGTATGTATACAGGTGAGCTGGCTGACTCGCCAAACACTTTTCCTTGGTATAAACTAAAGGGAACGCATACACTAAGTTCCTTTCACAATCACCTTCAATTGTTTGATGTAACTTGTGTGTCAATATATGATATTACCCCCTTTCAAAGTCTCAGAAGAACTTTCACAAACATCTTTTTGAATGGCAAAAGAATGCAACTTGCGAGGTTTGAACCTGCGGCGTAAAGTTTGTGACACATCCCTAGCCACATGTTTTCACATTTGAGGGCCAGGAGTAATTGAGGCCTTATTATACGAAAAAGCAATAGTATTACAGTATGGAATGGTTTTTAATGTGGTCTCATAGAATACAATCTCTAAACTAATTAGTGTCCTCTCAATGGGTTAACAAGTCTAATTCTCATGATATGGAGCCAAGAGTACATGAATTGAGTCGATTTCCAATGAATGTAAGTAGAACGTGGTGATGCCCATATAAATGGGTTATTTAGTGATTGCGCAGCCAAATCTAACACCCATGCCCACAAGCAATAAGCACCCTCCTTAGTGTTGTGCGTCGAAAAATCAACCCGTCGGGTTTAGAGCTTCTGCACACGGAGGATTGTTGGATATATTGATATCCAAAACTTAGGGCCAAGGTACTGGGTCTACACGTTAGAACACTTGTATAAATTATTACCACAGGTGTGACTTAGCAATAATACAAACTAGAGTTATTATAGTAAGAGGAAATGTATTTAGAAGTGCAGGTCTCAACATGGTCCTTCTTGCTTCTCCTAAAGAATTCAGTTATCAAAGGAATTATGGGCTTCTTTTTCCTTTGTTCTTGTTGCTGCTTCTTCTTTTTCTTCTTATAGGAATTTCCAATTGTAAAGCGTTTATACCCATCTCCACTGCTTGTCTCCTCTCCCATGCCCAAAACTTGGGCTAGAGAGGGAGCACGTTTGAACAACACCAATTCGTTTTTATTTCCTTCACTTTTTATTTCTTCTTCTTCTCTCACTACTCCCTTGGCTTTCATAGCCGCTAAGGCGGCGGCCGTGGCCTCGGCAGCCGCCAGTTTTGCGCTGTTCTTATGGACCTCCGCATTTAGAGAAGCCACAACTATCTCTGTCTCAGTCTCTCTGGCTTTCAGCTCCTTAACTTCGCGCTTTGTCTCCTCCAATTCCTCAATGAATTTTTCGAGCAACGGACTCTCCGAGGTGTTAGGTGGAACATCAATGCTGGACGAGGAAGAGGCTCTAGGAGGAGGAAAGAGAAGAGGAGGAGAAGGATTAGAGTATTTACCCGAAAGCAAAGGAGAAGGACTAGAGAGTGTTGGTTTGCTGGTGTGGATTTGGGAAGCTAAGAAGCGCTCGCCGAAAATGGCGACCGCTTCTTTAACGGATCGAAATGCGCGTGTGGTGTCGACCTCTGATCTATTGAAATGGGTTGATTGGGGGAAGAGGGAGGGGGGGGGGGGGGGGGGAGGTAGAGGAGTCTCCTGTCGAGTTTTGGTTTCCATGGAATTTTTTCTTTTTTTTGGTGAATTTTCCAGAGTAGGTATGAAGGTGTAGGAGAGGAGAATGTGAATTTATGATGATGGGATTGGTTTTACTTCGCTTTCACTTTTATGAGATGGGGGGTGGGTATTTTCTGTTAATTGAAGTAAAAGTCTTTATACAGTTGGTCACAATGAAGTCTACCCTGCACCTAAGGTTGGCCCATTGTTCAAGTTATGTTTTTTTTATTTTTGTTTTTTGTGAAAATATGTTGGGCAAAAATAAAGGGAAAGTATAAGTACCCTAGGATGTTATTTGGGTTTCTAATAAGGAAAAGTGTTTGGTGAGAGAGCTCACTCACTTGTAGATAAGCGGGCTCCCTAAAAAATTCATTTTGAACTATAGTGAATGCTTTTTTTCTTTACGTCCATCTCTAAGATGGACATTGATGCATGAAGACACGCATTTATTTTGGTGCGTTGCAAGGATTGTATACAATGAGATCATTTACTTATTGTACGAGGAGGTCACAATTATTTATAACCATCAGATGTGAAATTTGATAACTTGTATGTGTCACAAATTAAAGAAAATTTTCTTTGAACTTGCTTGGTCAATTAAATAAATGTAGCCACCCAATTTCACATCCAATAGTCAAGATTAATTCTGACCATCTTATACAAAAGATAAACGATCTCATTGTATATTTTTCCATATGTACATGATAATAACACACTTACAAATTTATGTAGTACACCAATCCGATAACTTACATCATCGGATCAATACTTTTTCTTTAAAAACACCCATGCCCCTTTTTTTTTTTTTTCTATTTTGCTTCCAAAATCCAATATTCCAAACATCTAATCATTTTTTTCATATGTCTATGATAATAACATGCTCTTACAAATTTATGAGAAATTTATGCAGTACGCCGTTCCGATAACTTACATCATCGGATCAGTATTTTTCTTTAAAAACACCCCACACCTTTTGTTTTTTTTTGTTTTCTATTTTGCTTTCAAAATCCAATGTTTCAGACATCTTATCACTTTTTATTTTATTTTTTAATGTTTTTGAATTATAGGAACTGGTTGGATGTTGGAAACATTGAACCACTCCTCATATTTAGAGTACATGGTTCGATATTGGAGATGTCCGATTGAATTTTTTTAAAAGAAAACAAAATGGGGCGGTCTAATATCTCTAACATCGGACCTACCCAACTACAGATTAATACTTTGTTGGATCTAATATTATAGACATCAAGACCAGCCTATTTATAGCAGTTGTTCCTTGGGTCTTTCTAATATTGGAGGTATTGGGCATGCCTATTTTTTTTTTTCAAAAAAATTTTGGTCTGATGCTTCTAACATCGGGCCATTTAGTTAAAAAAAAAAAAATGAGGTGTTGGGTGGTGGAATGTTTCCAACAACATAACAGTGCCCACACTTCAAAAAAGACTAAAATTTAAATTAAAAGAGTATCGGTGTTCATAATATCGGACTTTGGAGGAAAATAGGTGAAAACAAAGGCGTGAGGTGTTTCTAAAGAAAAAGTGATGCCCATGTTGTAAATATCAGACCGGGGTATTTCTACGTAAATTTTCATAGTTTATACCAGTCCATTATTACATATATTAAAGTTTCCATATGAAAGATTTGAATTTTAAGAACCACGTCCTTTTATGCAAGTCGTTCTTAGAAAGTCATTAGGCTCTTTTGGGAAAGGGGCTTTGGTGGTGATGGTAGCACCCCACACCTTAGTTACCACGTTATAGTTTCCATTTCTATCATGAACACCACTCTACTAATATTTTCAAAAAGCTAACTCCTAATCTATTTGAAAAAACGGGTAGGGGTCGGTCTTCCCCATTGAATTACCCAAAAAAAAAAAAGTCATTAGGTTCCAATTGATGCATTTGAAAATTGCTGATTATTTCTAAAAACGGGCAAAGCTTGTATTCCCCATTGATCTACCAAAAAATAGAAGAAGAAGAAGTCATTAGGCTCCAACTCACTATGGTTTAGAATCGCCTCGGTTGGACTTGGGCAAGTCTGAATTCATAAACTCGGGAAGTTTTGATAAGAAAAAAAAAAGGGTGAAAGGGGTGATTCTTAGCTTGGATGGTTCCCGATCTGCTCTGACACACCAGCAATGCTTTAAACACCATGACTAAGTGTTTAAGGGGAAGATTCATCACTTGCATTTGAAGCACGGCTAATCTTAAGGCATATAAAACAATTGGAAATTTGTATTTTCATAAGGAAAAACGTTTGTTCTGACCTAAAAAATTCTCCAGTTGATTATCTTGATTTCGAGATGTATAGAGATAAAAAAAAAGAAAAAAAAAAACGACGATTTCAAGCCTTAAAAATAGTGCATCTTGTAATGTATTATTTAGACAGTCAATTTTCAAGATTTTCAAATATTCATAAATCTACTTAATCTATACTATTTTTGAAGCTTTAAGTTTCATAATTAAGGTAAATATTTTCGTTCTATATTATAAATTTTCAATTCTAAAACAACATTTTTCAATACTATTTGGAGGTGCATCTTATTGTGATTATTTAAATCGCCAGGTAAAACTTCTACAACGATATTGTATGAAAAAGTGTAATTCATTCAAATGGATATACTATTCTACTTCCATCACCATCGAACCTGTTGATAAACGGTGTGATCATGATGTTATCGTGATCAGATGATCATTATCATCATATCATATCTTTTTACCCTATCGAATGGCTGAGAAGTTAGTGCACAGTTTTATGGATTTATCTTCCTTTTATCAAGTCCTCTTGCCTTTCTTTTGTCAACTTCTCATTCATTTCCAAATTTCCTTGTTTTCTCAAAAGAAATTGAAACCTTTTACGAGGTAAGAGATATCTATATGGTCATGCTCAACATAAATATTTCAAGTGAGTCATTATCGTGAATGGGGTTGAGGTCGTGGTGGTAGCACCATTTGAGCTCAGCTACATTCCCACTTATATATTTGAAAAATGACTAATTATTTTTAAAAACGAGTAAGGACTGTATTCCCCACTTATCTACCAAAAAAAAAAAGATTGATTATCAATTTTTCAATAAATAAAGAGGTCATTATTAATAAGTATAAGAAACTCAGGCTCCATATTAAGCCATTTCAACTTGAATGAACAGCTAAGTCATAAAAGTACGTAAAAAGAACCGTGTTTAAAAACCCGATTGAATAGCTGACTCATGAACTCGATCCCGATCGATCGATGATTCCAATTCGGATCAGCCAATCCTCTATAACCAAAGCAGAAAGCACCAGGTATAAAAAATTAAAATTGGTGGGAATAGGGCAATTAATCGACTCATACACCGTGGTTGTCCACACACCGTACCGGATTGGGCATCCACACACCATACCGGATTTGGGTAGGTGATTTTCAATGGGCGAATAAGAAAAAATGGAAAGCTATGTCCGAACCACTTGATTTAACCGTTATTACGTGATGGTCTAAAACATGCGATATTTGTCCTTGTCCCCCCAAATTTTCATTGTTTTCCAAACCTTGGGTCGAGGTATTAAACATCAAATCATATATTAAATTGATTTTTTTGGTTTTATGATATTTATAGGTCAGTTCAATGTCTAAAGTACGGGTGGTCCGGTGTTCCAAAAATCGGAGTGGCCTACACTTTTTAGTTGGTTCACGATGTTTTCGATGACTAAAACATCGCACAACCTAACCTTGAGAAAATGAGGTCTAAATGGCAATTTGATGCTTCTACCATCAAACGCACTAAAAAGGGTAGTAGGGTGGTCACAATTTGATGGTTTTAACATGGAACCAACCTATGGATATAAAAATATTTGAAAAATAGATTTAATATGCAGTTCGATGTTTAAAAGATAGAACAAAAGGCAAACTTAGGAAAAAATAAAAAAAAATAGGAGAGCGAGGACGTCGGCATAAATAATAGTGGATATTTTGGGACCAGATCATAACAGTATGAAAGTAAATTTCCTAAGAGAAAAAGCCCACTAAGGCGTCCCATGATGTGAAGAGTGAGAATCCCTACCCATTTGGAACAGTTGTGCATCAAAATGATGCCGGCCTAAATAAAACAAACCCCCCTCAATCCCCTAACACTGTTATCACCTAAGCTCGACAAAGCCAGCCTGGCCTTTGTGATTTTCAACACTTGAGCCTGCCACCCTTCCCAACTAAAACCTCTTGCTTTCCACTTTCCTCACTCTCTACACATACACATAAATACCCCATACCATTTCCACAAACTCAAACATTCAACTTTTGCTACAATGACCTAAATATCCATTACCAATGGCTTCCACCAGTGTCTATGGGCTAGGCATGGGCCATGGTGCTCATGTCCATTAATGCAAGCGACCCAGACATCCTCTCAGACTTCATCCTCCCTCCCAACATCACTGCTCCAGACGGCAACTTCTTCACGTTTATAGGCATGCGCGTCGTTGTAGGATCCAAGCCGTTGCCCAATTTGAAGGTGACTAAAGCTACCAAAGCCGAATTCTCAGCTTTGGATGGCCAAAGTGTGTCATATGCTGTACTGCAATTCCCTTCTGGTGGCGTTAACCCCCCACACACCCACCCGCGCTCCGCAGAGCTCCTGTTCTTGGTACAAGGCTCTCTGGAGGTAGGGGTGGTGGACACTACTGGCAATCTCTATGCTCAAACCCTTCAAAAGGGAGACATGTTTGTGTTCCCGAAAGGCTTGGTTCACTACCAATATAACTCCAATGCTCAATATCCGGCCATGGCTTTGTCGTCATTTGGGAGTGCCAGTGCAGGAACAGTGTCTGTTCCGACGACTCTCTTCACCAGTGGGATTAGTGACGAGGTCTTGGCCAAGTCTTCGAAGACTGATGTTGCAACTATCCAGAAACTCAAGGCTGGACTCGCCCCGCCCAAGCCTTGAGATTGATTTTTGAAACGTGCATGGCTTATGCCTTCTATTACTTGTATTATTCATTCCTTGATATTGTTTCCTTCCTTTGTTCATA